TTAATTACCGTAGCATCTGAAACTCGGTGGATATATTAGGTAAGCAAGTAAAACATGTTGTTGTCCCTAAAGCTGATGTGCTAAAAGCAGAAAGACTGGGCATCGCAGTTTGCTGTGTATGGGGCTATCTAACCGCAGACCAGTCAGGGTGCCCATGCTGACCCTATCCACAGCCAAAAGTGCCTACAATAGGCATGTGAGCATTAGAACTGGACCACGGAGCAATGGAAGAAAGTGGCCTGGTCTGATGAAACATGTTTTTCTTTTACATCATGTGGATGGCTGGGTGCATGTACTGTACATGGTTTACCTGGGGAAGAGATGCCACCAGGATTGCAGAATGCGAAGAAGGCAAGCCAGTGTGTGCCCTGCAGATATTGGCTCCTGTGTGCACTGCCACCTCCTGTGTCATTTCTGCCGGGGGGGAGGATGTCAGAAAAAAAATGACACCCAAGGCAAATGTTCACGAATGGTTTGAGTAACACAACGAGTTTGTGCTGTGGACTTGACGTCCAAATTCTCCAGATCTCAATCCAATTGAGCATCTGCGGGATGTGCTGGAAAAGCAAGTCTGATCCATGGAGGCCCCACCTCTCAACTTACAGAACGTAAAGAATCTGCTATTGACTGCTTGGTGTCAGATACTACAGCATACCTTCAGAGCTCTAGGAGGGTCCATGCGTTGATAGGGCACAATTGGCAGCATAAGGGGCCTATTCAATTTTAGGTGGGTGGCTGTAAACCTATCGGTGATCTAATTTAAAATAATAATAATATATATAAAGACAAATGTTAATCCAATAAAATTGTGTGTTTTGCTGTACATGGCAGCTATGGTCAAACTCAGATTTGACCTGAACATCCTGTAGAACTCCTTCACTAGAATACTGACCAATTACTTAGTTTTCTATATGTACTTAGTCAAGTGTTTTACATATTTTGTAATGCTGATCTGATCAAAAATATGGTTTAAACGATATATTATGATGAAGTTTACTCGAACACAGGAAGAAGAATACTATACTGTACTTCTTTTTGCCTTTAGAACAAAGTACACAATGACTTCAAGGAGGAAAATCCCAAACACTGTGCCGATGACAATTCCAGCAATTTCCCCACCGCCAAGTCCACTTCCAGAGGTCTGACATAGTGTTGAAGCTGGAGGACAAAAAAGGTCAGATAGAGGGAAATTACAAGAGAAAATGAAGAATTGTAATGTTATCAAAGCACCTGAAAGTAAATGAACAAAAACAATTTTCATTGAACAAAACAAAAATGTATAAAGTGTTTTTAAACCCAAATGCTTAATGGATAAGTTCACCTTTATGGAAAGAATAATAAAAACACATATTTTTACAGAAAATATTGAGCCTGGAAAGCATTGCACCTGTGATCAGTAGATCATGGGTGCAATGTGGCTCCTGCAGATATGTCCCCTGACTTCCAGCCCTTACCTCTATACAGGCGCCCTCACAGTCCTCTGAAACTCAAGTCCATCTGCAATAGTAGAAGACGGTACTTGCAGTTTATTCATTCACAAGAAACTGAGAATGACAAATGAATGAATGAATGACACAACTGTGTTGGTGGAGCTCTACACAGCTGTGCTCTTTTAAAAAATTGACAGCAGGTGAGAGGAGAAGAACCCATGCCCAATGTCATGGGGGAAGGAGGATCGGGGGGAAAGGAGGTAGTAAAGATAGGAGGTAGTTGAAACATGTTATATGTTTAAACCCGTATTGAGGGTAGAAGGTTCCAAAGGAACTGCAGAGGTATGAAAATTTAAGAGTTAAAGTCAAGTGTAGCCCCCGCTATGTTCACTGAGGGATTTCATGCTGCTACTGGGACTGGTATTGGAAAACGCTGGAGAGGTGGCTGTGGTCAGCGTTAGGCATGGTCTGCCTAATTGATAGCTACTGTGGGAAGATATACATTTACACGGGGACCCAAGTGTTAACTGGAAAAGTTGCGCAAGTGTACATGGTGTATGTTCATCTCTAAGAGTAGAAGTCTGCCTTAATGTCACGTATTCCCTGATGGCAACCTCAGCCTTGTCCCAGGGCAATGGTGAAAATGTCACTAAAGCAAAGGTACCCCGTGTATGTGAAGCAGAGAGAGAGTGACCTAGATGCTTAGCGTAGCCCAGAAGAAACCCACCCTGGGGTAGGCCTCTCAAGTTTCCCAGACTTGGTGCCCAATGAGTTCATTTGAAAAACATGGCGGAAATGACAAACAAACAATCACCACCCCACTACCCCCTCCCACCTTAGAAACTGGCCATACATGGATTTAAATTTGTCTGGTTCAGCAGGATCCAGCCAACTTTCAATCCATGCATGGGCAGGCTGATTATAGCCAAGTCAATTCATTGGTCAACTTTCTTGATTTTTTTACAAGCTATTACTGCCAGCGGCTATAGCCCCTAGCATTAACCATTGTGTTCTGCCCATGGGGAAGGCTCTCAATGCCCCCCCTTCCGACAGAACACAATAGCCCTGCAGGAGGCATTTGAGCAATTTCCTTTCCTTCTATATATTATCATCTATAGGCTGCTTTAGTCTGCGCACTTTGCTATTTTTGTCTACTTCAAATAAAAACAAAACAGCAGCACCCAATGCAAAGGGAAATTCGTCTTGCTGGGTCAGGGTCCAAATGCATTGTCATAAAACGCTATTTTTAAATAAAGCCAATAATGAGATATTTTATTCTAACCTGTGAAGTGTCAGGGCAGGAGCGATGGAATGGGCAGGCAGGCCTAATGGTAAGGTCATGCAGCGACTGAAGACAGCCGCTACTCACAGACCAGAGTCCCTCAGGGCGCGGAGTCTAAGCCCCAGGCTGCCCTTCACCAGGGCCCCTGATGGTGGGGATGGACTTGACGCAGCCTGAGACCAGGTCGCGGCCCCCGAGTAACCCCAGCTGTGGTAACGAATGCCGCCAATGGTGTACAGCTGGTGGAAAACGTGGATAGCGTGGTCGGACAGCCCGGGTCGATAACAACGGAGCAAACAGTACAAGACGGTAGACAAGAATACTCAGGTCACGGGCCGGGTTCAGCAACGGGAGGTCAGGTAATGGGATAGGGCAGAGAATAGTCTTGTCCAAGCCGAGTCGGTTACCAGGAGAGCAACGAGAACAGAACAAGAGCTTGCGACAAGGAAACATACAGGACACGAATGCAGAGAGCAACTGCAGGCAGCAGGCTTAAATGTGATCAGCCACACCCTTCTGGAGGAGGAGCCACAGAGGCCTGAAAGCATAAAGACTCTCACCATGCTTTGCAGGAACTTAAGATGGATGCTGGCACATGGAGCAACACAATCTCTGAGGAAAGGTAGGACCTTGACATGAAGTAGACATGTGCAGTTTGTTTTTCATTTTGAATAGAAATTCGGATGAAATTGTCATTATTCGGAGTTTTGGATGTATCCGAATTTCACAATAACATTAGTAACAAATTTAATCGAATGCAAAATAACAAAACAAAATTTAGTCTGAAATTCGAACCGAAACAAAATTGAATTTGAAAACAAAGTCGAAATATAAACATATTGCTGACTATTGCTGATTTCTTTCAAACACTATGTGCTAGAATATAGCTGTCTTCTGAAATCCGAATTGCGAAAAGAATAGAATAGAAAATAATACTATAGAAAATAAATAGAATACAAAGGATTGGAATATAGTAGAATAGAAAAGAATAGAATAGAATTTAAAAAAAAGCATAGATTTGAAAATAATAGGGTAGAATACAATAGAAAGAATATAGCCTTCTTCCAAATTTCGAATTTTGAAAAGAATAGAATAAAATAGAATAGATAAGAATAGAGTAAAACAGATTAGAATATGCTAGAATAGAAGGTAAAGGAATAGAGTAGAAAAGAATGGAATAGAACAGAACATAAAAGAATAGAATATAAAATATTAGAATAGAAAAAAATAGAACAGAAAAGAATACAAAAAATAGAATAGAGTAGAAAAAAATAAAATAGAAAATAATAGAATAGAAAAAAATAGAATAGAATGAATATTGCTGTCTTCCGAAATTCAAATTTCAAAAAGAATAAAACATAATAGAATAGAGTAAAACAGTAGAATAGAATAAAAAATAAAAGAATAGAATAAAATAGATTAGAAAATAAAGGAATAGATTAGAAAATAAAATAATCGAAAAGAATAGAATAAAATAGAAAAGAATAGAAAGAATATAATCATCTTTCTAAATTCAAATTTCTAACTTCAAATAGAATAGAACCAACTATTCTTCACAATAAATTAGGATCGATTCAAATTTGTTTCAAATCCATTGGAAAAAATGTTAATCCGGGCGGAAACAAAGGAGTGAAACAAAATTAGTAACAATGGAACGATCCGAAACGAAACAATTTTTTCATTTTGCAAGTGTCTACTGTGAAGTACTTATCACTCTTTAACGACTAGCCTACAGGGCACTTATACCCCCTTCCTGCCCAGGGCAATTTCCAGCTTTCAGCGCTGTCACACTTTGAATGACAATTGCGCGGTCATGCAACACTGTACCCATATGAAATTTTTATCATTTTTTTGTGACAGATAGAGCTCTCTTTTGGTGGTATTTAATCACCTCTGTGTTTTTTTTTTTTTTCTTAAACAAACCAAAATCCACTGAAAATGTTGAAAAAAAATGTTTTTTTCTTAGTTTTTGTTATAAAATTTTGTAAATAAGTGATTTTTCTCCTTCACCGATGTGCGTTAATGAGGCTGCACTGATGGACACTGATAGGTGGCACTGATGGGCACTGATGAGGAGGCACTGGTAGGTGGCACTTATGGGCATTGACAGGCATCACTGATGGGCACTGAAAGGCAGCACTGATACATGACACTGATAGGCGGCACTGATAGGCAGGACGGCACTGACTGGCACTGTTAGGCAGCACTGACTGGCACTGATAGGCAGCACTGACTGGCACTGATAGGCAGCACTGACTGGCACTGATAGGTGGCACTGATTGGCAGCACTGATAGGTGGCACTGATTAGCATTGATAGGTGGCACTGACTGGCACTGATGGGTGACACTGAAAAGCAGCTCAGATGGGCACTGATATGTGGTATTGATGTGCACTGGTGTGCACTGATATGTGGCACTGACGGGCACTGGCACGAGGCACTGACATAAGGCACTGATGGACACTGACAGGTGGCACTGCTGGGGCTACACTGATAATCAGGGCACACTGATCATCAGTGCCCTGGTGATCAGTGTACATGTCCCCTCCGTGGAAAGCCGATTACCAGCTCTCCTCTCCTCTGTCAGCGTGACAGCTTGAGAGGAGAGAAATGCCGAAAACCGGCATTTCCGTGTTTACATGTGATCAGCTGTGATTGGACACAGCTGATCACATGACAGAGCCGACATCTTCTGCTCTTTCCTTGATCGGTGATCCGCTGTGTCCAAAGGACACAGCGCATCGGTGATCGCCGCGCTGCACGCTCCCTGAGCCGCGCATGCGCAGTGAGAATGGGAGGACGTCATATGACGTCCTCCCAGAACGAGAAAACCACCTTGCGCCCGTCATATTACTATATGGCGGGTGGGAGGTGGTTAAAGCGATTGAATAGTACTTTATTGGTCAGGAAATGTTTGGGAAATTACCGTTTTCTGCCTTTATATATAAAGAAGCTGTGGCAGTATGCTGAGTGACTGGGTTGCTGACCACACATGTGTACGTCATCTCATTGTCCAACTTTGTTCCATCTATATGGAATGTATTCTCCCGGACACTTAAATATGTTCCATTAAACCACTGGTAGCTGGGCCGTGGGACAGAATCAGCAGAACACATTAATAAAATGGCAGAATTTTTGAGTGACTGGTCAATTATTTTCACATTTTCTGGCCCATCTGCAATACAAAAAACAAAACACGGGCATCAGTATAACAGCTGTAGAGAGAATCTGAATTGGAGGTAAACAAGGTTGTGTTCCTCGAGTTCTGAGCACATTGAAAGTTAAACTTAAACCAAAAGTATTTTTTCTTTACATTAAACAGATTTAGAAATAGTGTTTTTTTTAATTTTTATTTTTTATTTTATTTGCTGTTTCTGTTCCTGTTGGAGAGATTTCTTCCAACTTACTTTTCCAATAACAATTTTCAGTGGCGCAATGAAGGAAAATTATGGAAGGAACCAAGATGATAAAAACAATAAAGCTGTGAGGTTCTATACCTTCCACACTTTATCTAAAATGAAATAAAAATTCTGACAGGAGCTTGTCTTTAACATTAATAAAGTGATATTAACTCAAAGGCAAACATTTATTATATTGCAGCCTACCAATTCTTAGATGTGAGGTGATGGCTGCATTAGTTTTCTACAGGGTTTGGGTTTTCTTTCCTTTATTTTCACTTGGTGGTCCGGTAAAGCTTGGCCATACATGGGTTGAATTCCAAACAAATTTTCTTTAAAAAATTTTCATTCAAATTTTGCACCATTAGTGGGCCACAGCAACAGCTGATTTTCTTGCGGCCAACACTGGCTGTGGAAGGAAAGAAAATGATATCATCCAGTCCAATCATGCAGCCATCACATCTAATGATTAATAAGCTACAATATACCCTATTTTTCGCTCCATAAGATGGACCTAGATTTTAGAGGAGGAAAACAAGAAAAAAAATTATTCTGAACCAATGGACTGCAAACATAGCACAGGAATTGACCAGAGACTGCTGATGTACTACAGGAGATGACCAGAGACTGCAGACATTGTACAGGAGATGACCAGAGACTGCGGACATAGTACAGGAGATGACCAGAGTCTGCGGACATAGTACAGGAGATGACCAGAGACTGCAGACACAGTACAGGAGATGACCAGAGACTGCAGACATAGTACAGGAGATGACCAGAGACTGCGGACATAGTACAGGAGATGACCAAAGACTGCAGACATAGCACAGGAGATGACCAGAGACTGCAGACATAGTACAGGAGATGACCAGAGACTGCAGACATAGCACAGGAGATGACCAGAGACTGCGGACATAGCACAGGAGATGACCAGAGACTACGGGACATAGTACAGGAGATGACCAGAGACTGCGGACAGAGTACAGGAGATGACCAGAGACTGCGGACACAGTACAGGAGATGACCAGAGACTGCGGACACAGCACAGGAGATGACCAGAGACTGCGGACACAGCACAGGAGATGACCAGAGACTGCGGACACAGTACAGGAGATGACCAGAGACTGCGGACATAGTACAGGAGATGACCAGAGACTGCGGACATAGTACAGCAGATGACCAGAGACTGTGGACATACTACAGATGACCAGAGACTGTGGACATACTACAGGAGATGACCAGAGACTGCGGACATACTACAGATGACCAGTGACTGCGGACGTACTACAGGAAATTACCAGAGACTGCGGATGTACTACGGGAGATGATCAGTGACTGCGGACATACTACAGATGACCAGGGACTGCGGACATACTACAGATGACCAGAGACTGTGGACATACTACAGATGACCTGAGACTGCGGAGATACTAGAGACTGCGGACATAGTACAGCAGATGACCAGAGACTGCGGACATACTACAGATGACAAAGGAGAACTCAAGTGCAGAGACTGTGGACATACTACAGGAGATGACCAGAGACTGCGGACATACTACAGATGACCAGTGACTGCGGACGTACTACAGGAAATTACCAGAGACTGCGGATGTACTACGGGAGATGATCAGTGACTGCGGACATACTACAGATGACCAGGGACTGCGGACATACTACAGATGACCAGGGACTGCGGAGATACTATAAGAGATGACCAGAGACTGTGGATGTACTACAGGAGATAACCAGAGACTGCAGACATAGTACAGGAGATGACCAAAGACTGCAGACATAGTACAGGAGATGACCAGAGACTGCAGACATACTGTAGGAGATGATCAGAGACTGCGGACACAGTACAGGAGATGACCAGAGACTGCAGACATAGTACAGGAGATGACCAGAGACTGCAAAACTTTGGGGAGCAATGGGAGCAGGAGGGGGGCGGGTACCCAAATGTGATAGGTACCCGCTGTGACGATCGCGGCATCAGACCCCAGCCCCTTCTCTCACCAAACCCGTCACGTGCGTAACAATGCCACGCCCAGCTGTGCCCTGCACACAGATTTTTCCAGCTAATGGACCACAGTCTGTGTACCGGCAGCCTGGAAGTAAATTGTTACTGGGTCAGGTTAATTACGCAATTAACCCTTTTTTTTTTTTTTGCATTAAAATTCAAATAAGTAGTTTTTTTCCTCCAAAATATTGCATTTGAAAAACTGCTGCGCAAATACTGTGTGACATAAAAAAAACACCATTTTATTCTCTAGGGTCTCTGCTTTTAAATATATATATATATACATATACACACACACACACATGGAGCTCAAGTGGTGAAGCAAGCAGAGCAGTTATAATAAATACCAGAAATATCTTTATTATGAAATTGTATTAAAAAAACTGGTGAGCCATTGAAGGAGCACCCTACATAACAGAAACTGGTTAACATACGTTTTTGAACTTTGTCAATCACACCTATATGAGCCTATTGGACTCGCATTCCAACACCATGGCCATTAATATAGAGCCCCCCCCCCCCCCCCCCCCCCCCCCCCCCCCCCCATCCTTTCCAGCTATAGCAGCTTCCACTCCTCCGGCTAAAAAACACTAGTCAATTCTAATACTGAGGTCGGACTTAAAGACCTGACTAACAATTGGTGTTCTATTTCATCCCAAAAGTGTTCAGTAGGGTTGAGGTCAGGGCTCGGTGCAGGCCACCCAAGTTCCTGCACATCAAACCATGTCTTTATAGAGCTGGCTTCATGCTAAAATCAAAAATGACTTTCCGCAAATCGTTCCCTCAAGGTCAAAGAACATTGTCTAAAATATCTTTGTACTGTATGCTGTAGCATGAACAGTACTGTCCACTGGAAATAGCTGGACTCAACAATTGGGTTTTAGAATGAGATGTCCAACAAGCTTATGTAGATGTAATGGAAAGGAGTCCAATAATCGTTGGCCATATATCGTAGTTTTTTTGATTGTTGACCTGTTGGACTGTCTGTGATGTATGATAAAAAGCCCTTCATAGAAACAACAACTATAGAGAATGGAATTAATGTCACCTACACACTGTGGCTGCTTTGTTTTCTGCAGTCCTCAGAAACAGGAAGTTTTCTTTATTAAATTTTTTTTACTGTTACAAAGCCAAACCCTAATGTAACATTCTTTATCAAACAGAGTATCCAAAACAAAAAGCAAACAAAGGTGAGTTTCTTTTCACATGATGTAATTATTTATATTTTAATTAACTGGTTGGGCTTTGCGTTACTAGACAGCATTGAAAAGGTAACTTAGCTTTTGGTCTTCCTTCACCCTATGACGAGGTGTTTTTATTACAATTATGTATCTGTTAGAGAGAGATATGCCCTCACTTCCTGTTCTTGTGACAACTTTCCATTAGGGACTGGAAGTGAAAAAAAACCAAACAAGGACACAAGCAGAAAAATAGTCTGACAAGTTATAATCATTCCCTAATCTATCCAAAACTAGAAATAAAAAAAGAAAGTTTTAGTTAGAGAGAAACACTTTAATTTTAAGCCCAACTCTGGGACTGAAAAAAAGTGTATCTAAAAGCAAACAAAATACTGATTGTTAAAGAGGAGGGCTGAGTAGCAGCCAGGGTGGGATAGTCAGGAGGTCAAATTGTGGTCAGGGCTGAGAGGCTCTGCAGGCCAGCCCCTCTGGAATTTCCCACTGCTCTAGAGCTTTGGAGGAAGGTCTAGAGGCAGTGGGTGGATCAGAGGAGTGACTGGCTTGTACTCTTGAGGGATCCTGGCCAATCCCCAACAGGAGGCTTGGCAAGGGGCCAGGACAACCCTTAAAAGTAAGAGAGTCTACACAGCAGCAGGAGAGTTGGAGGGGAGAGGTGGAAGACAGAGAAGGATGTGAGGCTGGAGGTAGGAGCCTGTGAGGGGGTCCAGATGGAGAGGGGCTCACCTGCAGGCAGAAGATCTTGGAAGGTGAAAAATTTGGACTTCACTGGCCCCGAGAGAAGACCACCTGTGTGGCAGGGAAGGAGCGACCCAGATAGAAGACCTGGTAGCAGCCACCGACCCACCCACCAGCAGCACAGGAGAGGGACCAAGTGAGTGAACCTGCACCCCCTGGGCCAGATAGGGGAAGGAGCACTCTAGTGGGTAATTGGATTTGCTATCTTACCCAGACTGTTTCACACTGCAGTGGCAGGCACTGGATCCCCTGACCAGGGATACA